AGCCCAATTTGGTCTGGGCCCGAGGTGGGCTTTATAGCCGGCGACTACTGTAGTAAAAAGGTGGGAAAAACCGTTCACCGAATTTGCAAAACTTATAATTGAACCCCTCGCTTTTTAGCCAAACAAATGTTAGCTTGCAGACAAAACGAAAACAACAGCTCATTCGTATATGAAGAGATCGTATATATAGTAAATAAAGTTTGGTACGTGGTTTTAGAAGCAAATTTATTTAGGAAAACGCGAAGCCGATAGTAGAGATAATCAGTTAGCATTGTCAATAGAGGAGAATATACGAGTTCTAGGCAGCAGTTCAGAAGAAGATGCGATTACTGGAACAGGGGGGTTATTTCCCTGACGTTACGGATTCCCTCGGGAATCCGTAACGACAGGAAAATAAACCCCTTGTTCCAGTGATCCCATCTTCTTCTTCTGAGTTAGCATTGTATCAAGTATACTTAGCAATCCTGATGACACAGTAAAAACGGAAATAAAAACGAAGTAAAATGCATAAAATTTTGAAAGAACTACGTATTTGACCCTCTTAATCTATCTTTGAAACTCACTTCGAGTGGCTGTTTTGTATGGTTGGAGTAAATGCCGTTCAACATCTTCCGCAGTTTGATTATTTCTTCAGCCTGGATCTGAATGTCAGTAGCCTGGCCTAAAACAGTTAGTAACTAAATAAATCTTACCCTGTGCAGCGCCGGATGGCTGATGAATCATTATTCGAGAATGAGGCAAGGCATATCGATGACCCGGAGCCCCAGCCGTCAAGAGGAGAGACCCCATACTGCTCGCTTGTCCAATGCACCAAGTATGAATAGGAGGACGAATATATTGCATAGTGTCGTAAATAGCCAAACCAGAAGTGACGATACCACCTTTATCACTAGTAAGAATTCAGTAACCAAACATACCCGGACTATTAATATATAAATGGATCGGTAGTCGCTTCTCTTCTGATTGCAAGAACAAAAGTTGAGCAACTGTAATACTGGCAACTTCATCATTAATAGGACCCATGAGGCACACTATCCTATCTTTAAGAAGTCGAGAATAAATGTCATAGGCCCGTTCGCCTACACCCGTTTTGTCCAAAACAATAGGAACGAGTGGCATGGTTCGGCGGCACGTTAAATGTAGGTGTGCACCTTGGCCATGTTTAAAGCCCAAATAAAATGCTTCTTTAATTAGGAGAGAACTACGTGGCTGCAAATATCGCAACATCAAAACTGTAACGTCAGAAAAGAGAAATACAAACTTTTTCGAATACAGCGGTCTCAAGATCAAACCGTTAAAAGTCCACCGAGTGAACACTTAAGGAGCGAAAGACTTAAACGCATCGAAAAGGCGAAAATTCAGCATATTTAATTAGTAAGTCGTAGAGCATTAAATTACTTTCGTACGAAGTGTTATGAACATTTTGCTAATATAATAAAAGTACGCGAGCGAATATGCAAGTGAAACGTAGACCTTGACCTTGACCGCGGTTGGTTCAAATGTTGAAATAAAGTGTGAGAATTCTGTAAATCAATATATTCAAGAGAATAAATGACTTTTAGTCTTTGTATTCATTAAACAAATCGCCTCCATTACCATCGTTTTATTTGGAAGCATGACAAATTCCAAATTCCCTACGTGCAACAATATCGTCACTGGTAGGAGCAAGGCTGTCTTCTGTGTCCTATGTAAACAATTAGTACACAACAAATGTGCGAAAATAGCACCAGAAATATGCGAAGTTTTGAAGAAATGTAACTTAGAAGTGCTCTTACTCTTTGCAGCACATGCAAGGTAAGTTTTCTTGACAAGGATGCTGTTGACACAAACACCGACTCACAAGAGGCAGTCCAAGCCCCGGAGCAGGATAAAAATCAGCCTGAAATTGAGAAGACGGACTTAAGCGACTCGGAGCATGATGCGATGACACTACCGGCGACGGCGGCACCAGTGGATTTTCCGAAACCTAGAGATACATATCTCTTAACTCATACGAAAGTAAACGACGACAACGCAGGATGACAAACTCCGAAAACGACAACCAAAAGTGCAGAGCCACAGGGACTGAAGGATGCTCCATCTACCCCCAAAGCAACTGCTAATGGCCCAGGAAGCTCTGATAGAGCTGTAGACATTGCGCAAAGTCAACTTAACAAACTGGCTGAAATACAAGTAGTTGTCGAGCAGAAGCGCCCTGCGATTGTTGCAGATACGGAGACCTGATTATTCGATTCAGTAGAGGATAGTAAGATCGGTATACCTGGGCAGCGAGTCTTCCGCTGTGACCGTAATTGTAGGATACATGAAGGGGGGTTTTGATATACGCTACTGACGGCCTAGTGGTATCAATTCTAGCACGCGGACGCACCGAAGACAACCGTGTGGAACAATTTTGGTTGTCGGTCAAGGCAGCTACTGGAGCAACTAGGGTGTTATATACCGAAGTCCTCAAGTTAACGGTACCAGCTGGTTAACTACAATCAAAACGTATGCCAAAAGGTCGCGGATGTGCATTGTTGGTGACTTTAATTGCCCATATATCAACCGGTCTCA